TAAATTTTAAGGGCTGCAAATTCTGAGTGCTCTTAAGGAGAATCGGATGATTATTACTGATTTTATTTTGTTATGCTGGGAATAAAAATTTATTAAACCATTTTTATTAGTTGATTTTCGGTGGACATTAAGTTTTAAGCCTCTGTCAACGCGGTGTAGCATAATATCTAGGAAAGGTAAAGTAGTGTTTTCTTCCATTTCGAATGTAAACTCTATCAATTGTTCGCCTTTTTTAATTCATATAAAAAAATCAGGTAAATCACGGGAATACATTAATAGGTCATCATCAATATATCGGAAGTATGTGGATTGTTTTGGTAAAATATTTTGGAAAGTACCTGATTCGAGGAATTCTAAGAAAATACATACCATCACTCCAAATTTTTGTTTATAGTGAGACAGCAGATTTTTTATTATTTTACCTATTTGAAGAGGGAATTTTATTTTTGATTGTGTTACATGCTTTTTTTAAGCGATTTAAGCATTTTTCAACCAGGGTGTTGATATAAACAGATTTTATATCGAGACTTGTTGAGTTTGTCAGTCAGATTTGTTTCCCTTAGTTTTTCAACTAGGTTGCCTGATTTTTTTTTTTTATATGTAATGGGCTGATTCTTCCAAGGAAAGGAGTTCATTTTTTTTATGTCTTTCTCCACTTTGTGGGGAGGCCTGTCTTTTCCAGATGGGGCGCACTGGGAGGCCGTAATGTTCGTTCTTTATAATTTTGACTTTACTGGTGTGTTGTATTTTTAGGATAAGGTTAGCTGTCTTAAATTTTTTATATTAGATAATTTATGTTTTTTTTTTTGGTGGGGTCATTTGGGGTAGTGTATTTCTTTATAATATTTCTAAGTGAAGATTCATCTTGTTTGTAGTTAATTTGCATTTGGTTTTTGTAGAAAATATTTATGTAATTTTTACTGTCTTATTTGCTTTGGGGAAAAATAGTCTAATTTAGTGGTCTATAAGGTGGTTAGGGAAGCCATTGTTAATTAGTATCTGTTTTACATTATTGAGTTCTTTAGGAAGAGTAGTCGAGAGGATATATATATATATATATATATATATATATGTGTGTGTGTGTGTGTGTGTGTGTGTGTGTGTGTGTGTGTGTGTGTGTGTGTAACAAATGAACGAACTACGAATGCCCACATAAACACAAGTAAACATTAAAACAACCAACAAAAAATAATAAAATAATAAATAATGAGTAAAAATTTAAAAAAAACAACCCTATAAAATAGCCACAAAACTGCATTTGGATTCACAATTATTTCCACTCAATAAGCCCTAGAATAATTCGAAACATAACCGTTACAGCCCATCCAAATAACCGTTAGAATAATACAGTAGACCTACCCATAATGCACCAGTGACCAGCATATTTAAATAGTCGAGCCAAAATATTATTCACATGGCCTGACGATTGTGTTTAAGCATGAAACAGACTGTTACCGTTGGGTGTTAACTTCAATGTCCACTCTTATACTTACATACGCTCTATCTCGGATATTGAACACTTTAACCCATAAATATAGCAAACCTGAAAACCCAATTTATATATATATATATATATATATATATATATATATATATATATATATATATATCAGTTAGAACATCAGATTAGTAGGCACACACCAATCATACGAAACTGAACATATGTCTCAGTATTACAAATCTAGTCCTCGTGGTAATCTCCTCAATTGTAATTTACGACCGAGTGTATGAAGAATTCAACTTTTAGAAGTGTCTTGGTTGTTTTCTTAATTTATTGTCTTCACTGGAGAACCGATGTCCTCTGCCTCATTCATTTACTTAAATACATGAAAATCTAAAAATGACAGGTCAGTGCTGTTGGTGCATTAGAAAATATTGCCCCGTTATGCGCTGTCATTGCCTGCTTGGTCTTTAAGCTGTTTTGAGGCCTTGCATTTCCATGTCGCAAAAATACATTACTAATCTTGAAATGTGTGCCAAGCTGGAAGAAACCCGGTTGTGAGTTTTAACACTGTGATAAAGTAGGAATTAGAATTGATATCGCTATTTTCTGACACAAACTCTAACGGTAAATACAGTGACCAATACTTTCCCCCTGGATCATGCTGTTTGAAAAAATTTTTTTCCCATTTGCGTGAATCAAATTGTCGTTATTCCATTGATGTGCTATTTGTTCTCGGGCTTATAGCTGTGAAGCTAGATCTCATCTCATGTGTCTATCCTTGCTTAGGTAGGTACAATCTGCATTGTACCGCTCAAGAACCTGTAGGGTACCAACCACTTTCTGCTCCTTCATAGCGCTCGTCTGCATTCTTGGAATCCACTATGCCAAGCGACTAAACTGTAAACCCATGGCTGACTTGAACTCTCTGACAGAATTTTGAAATATTGATACTTCTGTTGGCTGTAATAATAATAATAATAATAATAATAATAATAATATTGTCAAAGTACAAGGACCTTGAAATAGAAATCTCGAAAATGTGGCATATGGGAACACATCAACAATCCCTGTTGTAGTTGGAGCCCTAGGACTGGTTGGAAAAGACTGTAGTAGACTAATTGAAGGGATTCCTGGAAGTCCATGCCTAAAGGAGATACAAAATTGTTCTGACAAGTACAGCCCACACTTTACGAAGGGCTTTATCTATGTAATTTAATTTTTTTTTTTTTTTTTTTTTTTGTCAGAGGAAAGTGTCATGACGCCATTTCTAACCTTAGGTCCTGGACCCGGAAAGAAATGTGTAAACGCCAGAAATCAAAGAAAATAATAATAATAATAATAATAATAATAATAATAATAATAATAATAATAATTGTATTTATAGAGAAATAGGGAAAATAATACTGATAATTACTCTGTGAACCATTTGAGCCTTTTTTTCCTTGTGTTCACTAAGAGGTGGAAATAGTAATAATAATAATCGTGGAAAGAAAAACAAGAAAATGAATGAATCCTCGTCAACGTGGCTATTCCCAGTGACCATAATATCAAGGTCAAAGAAATTGAAAAGATTAAAACGTACAATGACATCCGGATTGGCTTGAATACTTTCTTTCTTTTTATGTGCCGTGTCCTTTCAGGACGTAGGCGATCATGGCTCTTCACTTCCCCCTATCCCTTGGGGCACTCAATAAGTTTCGTGCTCCCCCAGATCACGTTCTGCCAGGTATGTCATGCGTTGCTTTCCCCTGTCTATTTTCCCCTTCATTCGACCTGTGTGTATCAGATTCTTCAAGCCCTCCTTTATCATTACCTGTCCCAGAAATTTCATCTAACTCTTCTTTATGTTAAGTATAAGCTTCCTCCTTATTTGCATCCTTTTCATGACTTCATAGTTGCTCACACGCTCGCTCCATGATATACTTAGCATCCTTCGGTAGAACCATGTTTCTACTGCCTCAAGTCTCTTCTTCATCTTTGAGGAGACCGTCCAACATTCGCTGCCGTATAGGAGGACAGATTTCACGTTGCAGCTCAGTACTCTTTTCTTTTTCTTGTCACCAAAGAAATCCTCCTGTCTCACAGCACTCTGCCCAGCTTCTGGGATGCATTCTTGGCGATCCCAATCCGTCTTCGGATCTCAGCGACGCACCTGTCGTCCTCCGTCAAAACACTCCCCAGATATTTAAACTTCCGCACCTACTTGATTTTAGTGACCCCGACCTGCACATCGCATTTCGGGTTCATCCTTTTACTGATGACCAATGCATTCTGCCTTCTGGACTATACAACCGAACCTAAAGACCTACATTAAGAAAATCGGAATAAATCCTAGTACCCCGCGTCGCTTCAGAAGTCTACGTTGATTTGCTCTGCAAATCATATACAGGGTGTCCCAAAATAATGTATGGACTCTTTAAATATTAATAATTAATAATACATTTTTTATATGCATGAAAATATGCAAAACAGATGGATTGGAAGAAAAGAGACAGTTGAATACCCACCTAGATCACCAGATTTGACACCCTTGGATTTCTTTTTTGTGGGGGATTTCTAAAAGACAAAGTTTACAGCAAAAAACCTCAAACAATTGGTGAAATGAGAATAGCAATTGAAGGAGAATGTGCTCAAATACCAGAGGAAATGATACTGGACGTTTGTAGGTCTATTTCTTCAAGATCTGAAAAGTGTATTGAACAGAACGGCAACCAGTTTGAGCACTTGATGTGAACTCATCATTATATGGAAATTCTGCCATTGCCTCAAGTAGCTTTTATCTTATTAAAGTTAATTTTCTATGTTTTTTGTATATTTTACTCACAAATTCTTTAAATGTGTATTCTTTCTCTTGTATTTATCTTATTTACAAGTCAAAGTACATAAATTGAATAAGTTATAACGATTCAAAGACTGTATACATTATTTTGGGACACCCTGTACATATATATATATATATATATATATATATATATATATATATATATATATATATATATATATATATATATATATGAAAGGTTCTATCGGTCTGAGATTTTAGTACTTGAGGGAGAACACACTTAATGCAAAAATCGCCGGCTGTAAACAAAAAAATCTGAGCGGAAGACGAGAAGATAATAATAATAATAATAATAATAATAATAATAATAATAATAATCACCGATGTACTCAAACAAGAAGTCAGTAGCGTTATTTGTCAAAAACATGTGACTTCATTCCTTCACGTAGACAAAGAAGAAACAAAAATACCGTGATGAACACACTCACACACATCCATACACCCCTGCATATACAATACACACACACACACACACACATATATATATATATATATATATATATATATATATATATATATATATATACTCTTATTCTTTCAAATACACACATACACATTCAGATAAAGAAATTATCCTCGGTCTACAGAGAAAGAAAAGTAAAATACACAAGTGAAATTACTGACATTACTATTCTCTTTTAACAATGAAAAACAAAACAAAGAAAACCAATAGCACAAAAAAAAGCGAAGGAAAAGAAAGGAGAAGAAAATCCTATGAATCCCTATGGCGTCTTTATTAAATCTTGTCGTCCGCGTAGCTTGTCTGTCAGTGTCAACCGGAACAGTCCAATCCTGCGGCCTCTACATACCCTTCTTTATCTCTTGTTCATTTCTTTCCCGCGGCTCTCTCTCTCTCTCTCTCTCTCTCTCTCTCTCTCTCTTCTCTCTCTCTCAAACATTGTTCGATACTTCTATCTCTGTCTCGCTTCTCTATCTTGTTTTCTACAACTTCTCTCACCTCTGATTTTTATATAATCAGGTTTTCTTTTTTTTCTTTTTCATTTCTTTTGTTCTGAGTGACACTTAGCACGAGGTAAGCTGGACATAGGAGCTTAAAGATCTTTTAATTAAGAGACCGAGTGATTTTGAAGAAGAAGAAGAAGAAGAAGAAGAAGAAGAAGAAGAAGAAGAAGAAGGAGGAGGAGGAGGAGGAGAAGAAGAAGAACTATTAGCATAGTTCCCATAAAATGACGGAAGTTTTACGTATGGATTGGCGCTTCTGGTTAGAGAATCTGTATGACTTACGTTGGAACAACGTGTCACTTCCCGACACATCTGTCCACCATGAAGTAACTGTGTGCTCTTACTTGGTTCAAGGTGTTTTTTAAGCGTAGCTTAGGTGTGGCACTAGGCCGAATGTATGGGGCACCCAGTAAATATGGAACTCACTATTCCGTCATATTTGATCTGGCGAGATTTGCTTGCTTACCATTACATACATCAAAGTTTCTTCTCTTCCATGAATCATGTATCTACACTCTACGAATAAAGTGACATACACAAAATATGTATACATATTCATTATATATATATATATATATATATATATATATATATATATATATATAGAGGTAAAAGTGAACATAGGGCCTTAGAGGCAATCGTCAGGCGGGCCTGATGAAAACATGAAACAGACTGTCGCCTCTAAGTGTTGACTTCCATGTTCACTTTTACATTTACACACGCTCTATCTCTGATATTGAGCACTTTATCCCATAAACATAGCACATCTTAAGACTATATTTCTTCATATATATATATATACATACATATATATATATATATATATATATATATATATATATATATATATATATAATTAAATTATACTAAAGATAATCCCATATTTTTTATTTTTCATTTCTATTTAATCCTGATTAAAACTATTTCAATTTTTCCTGTTTATACTTAATTCTTTAATCCCATGTCACTTCAAGGCATAAGCATTTATGGCACTTCACAATAATCTGTGAATTGCCATAACTTCTTGGGAAAGATAATGGAGTAGTTTTTCCTTGCCTTCTCCATGGTTTGAACTTCAGAGGAGCACTTCTCCTAGATTAGCTGCTAGCCAAGGTTAAAGAGCCCAATCTGCCCTTTAACCCATAGCTGGGGAGAAATGGTGGGAAATAGTAAAAAGAACAAATAGTAAAGCACAATTATCAGTTTCACGCCTAGACAATCATCAGACAGAAGCTGGAGTTTCAGACATAATAATATGGACGAATCCATGATAGTTTAAGCAGTGGGATAAGTAGCGGAGTAGGTATCTGTCCCCATGTGCACTCATAGGAATATAGGTAAAATTATTCATGCTGTAAATATTAACAGACTATTGAACAGTAAGTCAGAATTAGTTTTCAAGTGTAAACATGAGAACAAGTCACTTCGCTGCTACCTAGCAGAATGACATTCAGAATAAGCCTGGCAGCAGTGAAGTCAACAAAAGGCGGAATCAGGACTTCATTAACACTTTCAAGACCAAAATTAGTTAGGGAAATCGGTTAGAAAGCAGCGCTTTGTTTCAAGCAGACAAAGCTACTACAATAGTAAAATAAATAAAATATTAAATAAAACGAGTTAAATAATAAATAGTAAAATTAATAAAAAAAATGTAAGCGTGACTGTGAATTTCATGCATAAGTGATCATAAGGTGAAAAGTAAAACTTCGGGTTGGATTTTTAGACGTACAAATATGGGTGAGTCTATGGTTAGTAACCATAGACTCACCCATATCCATTTAGGTACGGGAAACGATGTTTCGACGTGATATGGACGTAAGTTCCCCCCCTTCAAAAAAGTGAATAAGGAAAATAAGAACAGATTAGATATGGGTTGGAAATGATAATTGTGTCTGAAAGGATTCATTGAGAAAGGGTGGAACACTAGACCAACTAATAAAAAGAAGTAAACGAGTATCACAAACTGTTTTCTCCTTAAAGAGGTTAAAAACAGACAAAGGTCGTACTCGAATGAAGGAACAGTAACACGCGCGTAGATGAAAGAAACAAAAGTTTATTGTAAAAGAGAATACACTACTGAAAGACAGGGAAACGAGTGGCGGGCTAGTAATTCCCGAAACAAGGATATTTACCTTACCTGCCCGCAAGGCAGGATGTGCCACAAGCCCGGTTTTTAACGCCGGGCAAAACCGAGCCCGTAGGCTCGGGCAAAAACTCCCCGTAGACAATGTAAAAAAAAAAAAAAAAAACGGGGTCGGGTAGCTATCTACCACCCCAGGCGAGAGGCTGCCCTTCAGCATAGCCTCGTCTAGGTTCCTCTCTACCCGAAGCCAAAGAGTTCTACAAGCACAGCAGGAGACGAATCTCCAAATAATTGCCGAAGCACTCAGCCCTCAAATATGTCCTGTGCTCACTATATATAGCTCGTGATATAGTCAGTCCACATAGGCGATAAGGAGTGTGGGACATTCCATTATAACACAAACAAAATCGAAAAAAAAAACGCACTTTCACTTTCTTCACTTTTTAATGTATTTCTTTTCTTTATATTCGGGTATATCGAAAATAATTACGTATTTCACCATTAGGAATTATGTGTCGATCAACCAAGGCAGAATCAAGGTTGAATGGCAAGAAAATTACGCCTGGATCCGACAACGTGGTGTTTATACTGCATTTCAGGGTTTAAACTCTCGGAGGATTATAACATATTTGACATTGCTTTACGTATGTATTCCAAAAGTATAGTATTTTTACAGAGACATTTGTGCAATGTAGGGCTTAGAGAACTTAACCATCACAGGACATATCAATGGTAAGAGAGATAGAAGTAGGCCTTGGGCCACCTACCTGACGTGAATGGATGACTTAACAGGAGGTGGGATGCTTGGCAAAGGGACAAAGTCTGTTAAAGGCTAAAAGGAATCAGTAGTTGTGGAGATCCATGACCTCCAACGTTCTGAATGGATAAAGTACATAGAAGATACAGATGCAGTGAACGTTGATACATGTCTGCAGTTTATATTTCTGGGATGAGATATTTTAACTATTTATACTATTTACATCGTTCGGACTGTTATTCTCATCCTTATTGCCATATTCCCGACCTTTCGGCCGTTGTACGCTCCATCCTTCTCCAGGTGCGTTTGGTTCCAAATCCCAACGTATATCACCTGTAGAAGATCGGAGCGTACAACAGCCGAAACGACGTGAATACGGCAATAAAGATGAAGACAACAAACCGAACAATGTAAATAGTGTGAGTATGTCTTGTTGTTTAAATGATATTAAAAACGGCGATTACAGCATATCAGACAAGCTGCACTTTGGCGACGATCCACTCTGAATGAAGAGCTTTTCAAAAAGACTAATGAATTAAATCCACATCAAGACACCAGTGGTTTGGGGGAAATAACCTGTCCAAAAACATTGCAAACGAATTGAGAAAACTTACAGAAAGAATTTGTCTACCTCGTGACCTTTCACTTGTGTACCGAAGACAATTATCTGCAGCAGTCTTTAAACCAGAAATGCTAAATTTTCATTTTTGCATCGCATTGTTACAGTTGATGAAAAATGGGTTTTGCATGTCAACAGAAAACGAAAAAGTGAGCGGTTATCACAAAATGAAAAATCAGCGCCAAAACTCCAGACTTTACAGAAGTTACTACATTGCATCTGTTGAAATATGAAAAGTGTCGTCCATTACGAGATAGCAGGACATTGATGTATCATAACTGCAGATGTTCATTGTTAGCAATTTGATCGGATAAACGAAGCTAATTGCCTTATTTGGTAAACAGAAAAAGATGTTATTTTCCAGTATGATAATGCAACGGTTCAATCTTCAAAACAAATCCACGAACAAATGAAAAAAGTTAGGAACAGAAGTTATTTCACAATCTCCAGATCGATAGTTAAAAATGGCTTCGATTGAATGCAGCACGTAAGCCTCAGCGAGGATCAACCTTCTTCAAACCTTGTAGACTTAACATTACAGAGCCACAAAGAACTGTACCAGGTAACAGAAACCACATTATACGAGGAGTTTAAACAGCGGCAACAACTAAAATAGATAGCACATAGAACTCGAAGAGAGAATAGATATAATCAAGACGTTGACATTTTACACTACCTCAATGCAAGGAAGGAAAATTCCATCATTACTGGAAAGAGCATTAACAGCTACTGGGCATGAGAAACCTATTACATTCTCTGAAAATTGTTTGAAGAGAAAAATGTTATAAATTTCAACCGATAACAGCACTGACTGCTCGGTCAATGAATACCGAATGTTTCCTTATAGGGAAACGGCTAATATTACCATTACCATACTCTTTAACCCTTATCGATTTTCATTTGTTTCGATCGCTAGAATATTTCATAAGTGGAAGAGCATTTAGAAACAAAGAGACATTTTCTTCTATGAAAAAAAAAAGTAGATTTCTTTAAATATCGAAATACGTAATTATTTACCGAATACGTGAATTTAAAAGAAATGAAACAAATCACATAGTGAAAGAAGATATCAGTGGGGAATGGAAAACTTGCTTTGCCTTTGGGATGCAGTCGTTGACAATACAGGTAATTACATTTTTTTTTATAAATAATATTGGATAACGATATATAAATTTATATCTCAAGAACAATTTGGGGAGAAAAGATGTATGACAAAGTGGAAATAGATTTAGTTGTTGATGATCTTGAAAATCCTCAACTGATGCGGTTTCTGTTATTTGGTACGGATCTTTGTTAGTGATTATGTAGCGCCAGTTATGATGTTGGTCCTTACTGAGACCTACATGCTTCGTTTTCTTGAAGCGATGTCTCACCATTGACCTGAGAAAACGGTTGTCTACAGCTAACAGTTTAGATATTTCTGAACTAGTTTGGCGTCATGCATGATATCCATATGAAAGTTTCTATTTTGACGAGGCTATTTAAGAACAGACAATAGATAATAAAACTGTTGAT